TTTGTGCGTATGTACGACCCAAGAGCCCGGTTGAGATGCCCCGGCTGAGATGTGGATACTGACTTCTTCACCCGTGTGGGGAGAGAGAGAGAGAGAGAGAGAGAGAGAGAGAGAGAGAGAGAGAGAGAGAGAGAGAGAGAGAGAGAGAGAATGGTAATGTGGATTGGGGATGTGGGGATTCGGCACAAGGGAAATTGTAATGTGTCTATGGTAAGCAAAAAGCATGAATAAGGGCGTTTTTTTTTGCCAGGTAATGTAGCGCTACTGCAGTTGGGCCTGGCCTGGCGTCTCGTGAGTGGGATGCATCTGCTTTCGCCAGCCACTCAAACAAACGTGCCAACTGGATGTGGTTCAGATGGTAAAACACACACGCACCATTCAGGAGGCCGTGTGTTCGATTCCCATAGCAGCACCGTGCCTGCAGCATGTTTGGTTTAGGGCCCGTCGGAAAAAAAAACAGAGGTTTTTATTGGAAAAAAAGAACTCTACCCTTTCTTTTTCTTTTTTTTTTCTTTTTTTCAGTCTGAGTTTGCTGTGTCTTGCTGCGACTTAGGGTCTTGTTAGACACTCCTAAAAGTGCCTGTTTTTAGGATTGCGTCTTGGTTGCATGCAATCCTAAATCCAATTTTAAGATAGAAAATGTGAAAACGGCGTTAGGACTAGTCCTAAAGGATTTAGGATTCCCCAAGGCAAAGTCGTCCTAAATTTTCCAGTAGCCCCCGACCTACTGAAAAATTTAGGATTCCCGCGTTTCACGGACTCGTTGCGTCGTGCACATGGCACCGTGGACATGGAGTTGCTGGTGCAGAAGCGGTCCGTCGGGTCAGTGGTCCGACATCGGAGGTTTTCTGCGGGTCGACGTGGGCAAGGGCCACGAACGGTAGCCGGATTGGATGGACATTGGCGGGTCGACGTCGGCAAGGGCCACGAACGGTAGCCGGATTGGATGGACATTGGCAGGAGGATTGGACGGATATTGGCAGCAATGGACGGACATTGGTGACGCGGCTGCGTATACACATATGAAACCCGGCCGCGGGAGACCTTTTAGGATGAATCCTAGGAGCGGCTGCGTATACACATATGAAAACCGGCCGCGGGAGACCTTTTAGGATGAATCCTAAAAGATGATTTTTAGGATTGCGTGTAAGCCGGCGCACGGAATCCTAAAAATCCTTTAGGACTCGTCCTAAAAATTTTATTCTGAAACCGTGATAGCGCCCTAGTTTTTCCCGCATCAATTTTATTCATAGCTGTGATTATGGGCCTCGCTCCACTACTCTCCAAAAGTGCAAAACGAGAGTGAATCTTCCGCTAGAACATGGAAAGATACACCTCCATTATTTTTTGTCTTTTGTGCACCTCGAGAGTAGTGGAGCGAGGCCCTATCACAGGCTAGGAACGAAACCTAGGACAAGAAGAGATGGGGAGTAGCGTCGCTGCACTACTCTGCACATGCACAAAAGACAAAAATGTGGCAATGTATTCTTCCCTGTTCTGGTGGAGGATTCAGTCTCGTTTTGCATATTTGGACAGTTATGGAGCGAGGCCCGTGGCCTGTCTCTTATACACATCTAGATGTGTATAAGAGACAGGAGAGAGAGAGAGAGAGAGAGAGAGAATGGGAGAGGATGGTGAGGACTCGACGGACAACCATGTCCGTTAGAAGGGAAACGGTGGCGCTGAATGCCTGCAAACCGGATCCCGACGAAGAGGAAAAGGCGTGCAAAAGTTCGATAAATGGAACAAGGGGAGGGGTCAAGAAATCGGCCACGGGGGCGCGGAAGACGGCGAAACTGGGCGTAGTGATTAACTCGTACGAGGAGCAGCGTTTGGCGCGCATTGCGGAGAACAAGGCAAGATTGCTGGCGGCGGGAATCCACAGTGACGTGGCAAATCTGAGGGCGTCGATGAGAAGTGCCACCCTCCCTTCATATCGGCTAGATCGGAAGAAAGTGAAGCAAGAGGAGGGTATGGAAGACGGATCCGCGGCCAATGAAGTTGGGATGAGATCGCGTGCGGCGGCGGCGGCGGCTAGCGCGGAGTCTTCCCGACGGCGGTCGGAGAGGCTTGTTGCCATTGCGCCTGTCAACTACAACGAGGGCAAAGACGAGAGAACGCCCGGGATTAATAAGAGGCCAATTGTGACCAAGGAGTACGAATTGGGTGCGTTTGAGAGGTTATCTGCGGGCGCATTGATGAGCAGCGCGGGGCGGCGGCGCAAGGTGTACGATAACCTTGAAGCTGACGAGGGTTGGAAACCACTGGTTCTTCCGCCTCATTTGCAGCGGCATAGATGCGATTCTGAGGGGAGGGGGAGCGTGTATGATCCCGTGGTCGGGCTGTGTTGCCATTTCTGTAGGCAGAAGAAGTTATGCGCGGAGCCGGACTGCGAACGATGCGGGGGAATGGACGTGACTAAGCGCTGCAGGGGGAAGACGGAGTGCAGCCGCTGTCAGTCGTCGACGGGAATCTTTTGCCGCGCTTGCATTCTGTTACGTTATGGGTCGTCGCTGGAGGAGGTGAGATCGAATCCCAAGTGGATATGCGCACATTGTACGGAAGCAGAGGGAAAGGATCCCTACTGGATATGCAACAGCTCTGTCTGTCTCAAGAGGCATAAGCTGCCGCCGCTCGGGATCGCGATCTACGAGGCGCGGCGACATGGGTATCCTTCCGTTGCGCATCTCCTCAAGGCCAAGCTTCAAGAAGTCGACAGAGATAATTAGGGCATAGTCACACGAGGGGGACGGCTTGTTTTTACGTACTTCTGGACGTGATAGCGGCCGCATACATCTCAGTATTGCTGTAATTGCGGTCTGGTGCATTTAGGACTAGCGAGGGGGACTGTCTGTTTTTCTTACTTATTTTCTGGACGTGATAGCGGCCGAATACATCTAAGTATGGCCGTAATTGCGGTCGGGTACATTTAGGACTGTGCTAGTGTGAGTATCTGGACGTCGTAGCGGCCGCATACGTCAAAGTACGGACGTAATTGCGGTCGGATACATTTAAGACTCTGCTAGTGCGAGTACGCTGTTAGACTTGTCGTTTTCCACTTCTGTTAGGATTTGTGCTTTTCCTCTAGACCAAGCTTCAGTCGCTCCTTACAGATAAATGTAGACTTACTTTCTTCTTTTCCTTTTGTGAGGAATCTTTTTCCCCTTCTGTCAGGATTTGTGCTTTTCCTCTAGGCCAAGCTTCAGTGGCTCGTTAAAGATTCATGTACACTTACTATGGGCCTCGCCACACCACTCTCCAAACGTGAAAAAGACAAAAATGTGGCGGGTGCATCTGGCCATGTTCTAGCAGCAAGCTCGTTCTCATTTTGCACATTTCAAGAGTGGTGTGGCGATGCCCTATCTTATCTTCTTTTCCTTTGTTAGGAATCTATAAGTAAGTTTTTTTTTTTCCCCTCTCGAAAAACAAAGGGAATCTATCAGTGTTTAGTACTGTCTATTATTTCAAGTAACTTTCCAAATACTGTCAATTACTTTTTCGAGTACTTGAATGTTTGTACTGCATTTGAAGTAAGTACTCGGAATACTGTAAGTAATAGATTTGTTTGTACTGCATTTGATCAGACTTCAAAAAAAAATTTGTACTGCATGTCGCTGTGATGTTGTCTGTTTGATGAAATTCAATGTGAGTGTTTCAAAAATGCCCTATATTCTTTCCTTCCCCCGAGTACAACGCTCTCCCTTCACGGCGGTATAGAACCTGAAAGATAGCTTGTATACATTCGTTATCAGGGTGCGTTGTGTTCGGGGTAAGGCGGTAGGAGTCTGGCTGTGATTTGGCTGTAATTTTGTGCGTATGTACGACCCAAGAGCCCGGTTGACATGCCCCGGCTGAGATGTTTATACTACCTTCTTCACCCGTGTGTGGAGAGAGAGAGAGAGAGAGAGAGAGAGAGAGAGAGAGAGAGAGAGAGAGAGG